CACAAAATTAAATAGTTCCCCCAGTAGACGTAAAGAAAACGCCTTAAATAGCTGCCACATAAAGGAAAACGTTCACTTGGAGAAAAAGAGATAATACGCCTAATATAAGTCTGAACGAGTATTATTATATTCTCTGTGGCTCAATAAGACTCACGGGGAGGAGCAGAATGAAGACATGGAGGAATATTGGGGGTATCTTGGTGTGAATGGCCGTGTGGAGGTGGCCGTGTGGAGGTGGCCGTGTGATGGCCGTGTGGAGGTGGCTGTGGAGGTGGCCTTGTGGAGGTGGCCTTGGGGAGATGGCCTTGGGAGATGGCCTGGGAGATGGCCGTGTGGAGGTGGCCGTGTGGAGATGGCCTTGGGGAGTTGGCCGTGTGGGAGGTGGCCGTGGAGGTGGCCGTGTGGAGGTGGCCGTGGAGATGGCCGTGGAGGTGGCCTGTGGAGGTGGCTGTGGAGGTGGCCTGGGAGATGGCCTGGGGAGATGGCCTTGGGGAGATGGCCGTGTGAGGTGGGCTGGAGATGGCCTTTGGGACGTGTGGAGGTGGCTGTGGGAGATGGCCTTGGGAGATGGCCTTGGGAGATGGGCTGTGTGAGGTGGCTGTGGAGATGGCCTGGGAAGATGGCCTTGGGGAGATGGCCGTGTGGAGATGGCCTGGGAGATGGCGCGTGTGGGAGGGCTGTGGAGATGGCCGGGGAGAGGCCGTGTGGAGGTGGCCGTGGAGATGGCCGTGTGGAGGTGGCCGTGTGAGATGGCCTTGGGGAGATGCATGTGTGGAGATGGCCGTGTGGTGATAGACAAATAGAAATGTGATTATCGTACGCGGGCAACTGTTGTGTAGTGCCCCTACGCGACCATGTAAACACCAGGTTGTTTACATGGTAATACTGAACCGTAAACACTGTTGTTACCTGGTGTGGTGTTGCTGCTACTGTGTTACTCTTGATGATACCTTGCTGCTGTTGTTATTTTGTTTTACTGTTGTTCTTGATGTCGCCAGTTATTCTACCAAAAAACGGTAAATACTGTTGTTTCGTCGTTGTTTGTCTCATTGCTGTTGTCTGTTCTCTTGTAACTGTTGTCACTGTTATTATCTCTTATTTCCTGTTGTTTTCGTTGTCCACCGACCTTCAGTATACAGGTAGACGGTTCACCTGTACAGTGCAGTCATATACATTACACGGGTCACCTGAGATTAGACTCCCACCTCATTTCACCTGATGATTAACCAACCTAATCCAACCTAACCTAACCTAACCTAACCTAACCTTTTCTCTCTCATGCCTTCTACTCCCTAACCCCTTCTCTCACCCCTAACCCCCTTTCTCTCCCTACCCCTAACCCCTTCTCCCCTACCCCTAACCCCTTCCTCCCTACCCCTAACCCCTTCTCCCCTACTCCTAACCCCTTCTCCCTACCCCTAACCCCTTCCCCTACTCCCTAACCCTTCTCCCCTACCCCCAACCCTTCCCCACCCCTAACCCCTCCCTCTACCCCCCTAACCCCCTTCTCCCCTACCCATAACCCCTCCCCCCTACCCCTAACCCTTCCCCTCCTCCCAGATGACAGTCGTCCTTTCCTTCTCTCAGACTCAAGGAAATACCGGATGAAGGCCACTGAGATTTGTCTGAGAGATAAAAAAGGAGATTATTCTCTTACGGGAGAGAGAGAGAGAGAGAGAGGATTACGGGAATGAATTACTGTGTTTGTATTCGTGTTAGTGAGAGATGTGGGTCGGGAGTCTTATTATCTCTCTCTCTCTCTCTCTCTCTCTCTCTTTCTTGCAGTTCGCCTCTGACCATGAAAACCCAACCAAACCAAACCTAACCTAACCTAACCTTAACTAACCTAACCGAACCTAACCTAACCTAACCGAACCTAACCTAACCTAACCGAACCAAACCTACCCTAACAAACCGAACCTAACCTAACCGAACCAAACCAAATCTAACCTAACCTAACCTAACCTAACCTAACCTAACCTAACCTAACCAAACCTCCTGAATCATCCTCTCTGATGACAAGTCTCAATTGGTTAGTGTGGAGTATGATGGTACAGTGTGGAGTATGATGGTGCAATGTGGAGTATGATGGTACAGTGTGGAGTATGATGGTACAGTGTGGAGTATGATGGTACAGTGTGGAGTATGTTGGTACAGTGTGGAGTATGATGGTGGAGTGTGGAGTATGTTGGTACAGTGTGGAGTATGATGGTACAGTGTGAAGTATAATTGTACAGTGTGGAGTATGATGGTACAGTGTGGAGTATGTTGGTACAGTGTGGAGTATGATGGTACAGTGTGGAGTATGTTGGTACAGTGTGGAGTATGTTGGTACAGTGTGGAGTATGTTGGTACAGTGTGGAGTATGTTGGTACAGTATGATGGTACAGTGTGGAGTATGTTGGTACAGTGTGGAGTATGATGGTACAGTGTGGAATATGTTGGTACAGTGTGGAGTATGTTGGTACAGTGTGGGAGTATGTTGGTACAGTGTGGAGGTATGTTGGTACAGTGTGGAGTATGTTGGTACAGTGTGGAGTATGATGGTACAGTGTGGAGTATGATGGTACAGTGTGTGGAGTATGATGGCACAGTGTGGAGTATGTTGGTACAGTGTGGAGTATGTTGGTACAGTGTGGAGTATGATGGTACAGTGTGGAGTATGTTGGTACAGTGTGGAGTATGATGGTACAGTGTGGAGTATGTTGGTACAGTGTGGAGTATGATGGTACAGTGTGGAGTATGTTGGTACAGTGTGGAGTATGATGGTACAGTGTGGAGTATGATGGTACAGTGTGGAGTATGTTGGTACAGTGTGGAGTATGATGGTATAGCGTGGAGTATGTTGGTACAGTGTGAGTATGATGGTACAGTGTGGGAGTATGTTGGTACAGTGTGGAGTATGATGGTACAGTGTGAGTATGATGGTGCAGTGTGGAGTATGATGGTACAGTGTGGAGTATGATGGTGCAGTGTGGAGTATGATGGTGCAGTGTGGAGTATGATGGTGCAGTGTGGAGTATGATGGTGCAGTGTGGAGCATGATGGTACAGTGTGGAGTATGATGGTACAGTGTGGAGTATGATGGTACAGTGTGGGAGTATGATGGTACAGTGTGAGTATGATGGTACAGTGTGGAGTATGATGGTACAGTGTGGGAGTATGTTGTGCAGTGTGAGTATGATGGTACAGTGTGGAGTATGATGGTACAGTGTGAGTATGATGGTACAGTGTGGAGTATGATGGTACAGTGCGGAGTATGTTGGTACAGTGTGGAGTATGTTGGTACAGTGTGGAGTATGTTGGTACAGTGTGGAGTATGATGGTACAGTGTGGAGTATGTTGGTACAGTGTGGAATATGATGGTACAGTGTGGAGTATGATGGTACAGTGTGGAGTATGTTAGTACAGTGTGGAGTATGATGGTACAGTGTGGAGTATGATGGTACAGTGTGGAGTATGATGGTGCAGTGTGGAGTATGATGGTACAGGAGTATGATGGTGCAGTGTGGGAGTATGATGGTACAGTGTGTGAGTATGATGGTACAGTGTGGAGTATGATGGTACAGTGTGGAGTATGATGGTACAGTGTGGGAGTATGATGGTACAGTGTGGAATATGTTGGTACAGGGAGTATGATGGTACAGTGTGGAGTATGATGGTACAGTGTGGAGTATGATGGTACAGTGTGGATATGATGGTACAGTGTGGAGTATGATGGTACAGTGTGGAGTATGATGGTACAGTGTGGAGTATGATGGTGCAGTGTGGAGTATGATGGTACAGTGTGGGAGTATGATGGTACAGTGTGGAGTATGATGGTACAGTGTGAATATGTTGGTACAGTGTGGAGTATGATGGTACAGTGTGGAGTATGATGGTACAGTCTGGGATGATGGTACAGTGTGAGTATGAAGATGGTAACACACGCACACACACACACACACACACACACACACACACACACCTTTATGGTCGCTCGTGTACGTAAGGGAGACTTAGTGTAGTCCTTCCCGCTTGACAATTTGTACCCTCACCCTCCTCCCACGTCACACCCTACGACCAGTCTGGCCAGTTACGTCACACCCTACGACCAGTCTGGCCAGTTACGTCACACCCTACGACCAGTTACGTCACACCCTACGACCAGTCTGGCCAGTTACGTCACACCCTACGACCAGTCTGGCCAGATACGTCACACCCTACGACCAGTCTGGCCAGTTACGTCAACCTACGACCAGTCTGGCCAGTTACGTCACACCCTACGACCAGTCTGGCCAGTTACGTCACACCCTACGACCAGTCTGGCCAGTTACGTCACACCCTAGACCAGGTCTGACTCACTGTCCAGCTAGGGCGTGAGCAGTCTGGACTTACCAGTATCTCCCAGACAGCCTGAGACACACTGGCACCAACAAGTGTGGGGAGAGAACAAGAGCCTCACCTCTCAACAGAAGTTGTCAGGTTCTCACCGAAACTCCCGAAGTTCCTGAAGAATGACAAGACGAAGGACTTACTGAAGCTGCTGAGGAAAGGAGTTGAGGATGTTGTGTCCACACTGTTCTGCTGGAGGTGTTGTGTCCACACAGTGTCCTGCTGGAGGAGTTGAGTACACACTGTGTCCTGCTGGAGGAGTTGTGTCCACACAGTGTCCTGCTGGAGGTGTTGTGTCCCACAGTGTCCTGCTGGAGGAGTTGTGTCCACACAGTGTCCTGCTGGAGGTGTTGTGTCCACACTGTGTCCTGCTGGAGGAGTTGTGTCCACACAGTGTTCTGCTGGAGGAGTTGAGTACACACTGTGTCCTGCTGGAGGAGTTGTGTCCACACAGTGTCCTGCTGGAGGTGTTGTGTCCACACAGTGTCCTGCTGAGGAGTTGTGTCCACACAGTGTCCTGCTGAGGTGTTGTGTCCACACTGTGCCCTGCTGGAGGTGTTGTGTCCACACAGTGTCCTGCTGGAGGAGATGAGTCCACACAGTGTCCTGCTGGAGGTGTGGTGTCCACACTGTGTCCTGCTGCAGGAGATGAGTCCACACAGTGGCCTGCTGGAGGAGTTGTGTCCACACAGTGTCCTGCTGGAGGAGATGAGTCCACACAGTGTCCTGCTGGAGGAGTTGTGTCCACACAGTCCTGCTGAGGAGTTGTGTCCACAGAGTGTCCTGCTGGAGGAGTTGTGTCCACACTGTGTCCTGCTGGAGGAGTTGTGTCCACACAGTGTCCTCCTGGAGGAGTTGTGTCCACACAGTGACCTGCTGGAGGAGTTGTGTCCACAGTGTCCTGCTGGAGGAGTTGTGTCCACACAGTGTCCTGCTGGAGGAGTTGTGTCTACACAGTGTCCTGCTGGAGGTGTTGTGTCCACACTGTGTCCTGCTGGAGGAGTTGTGTCCACACAGTGTCCTGCTGGAGGAGATGAGTCAACACTGTGTCCTGCTGGAGGAGTTGTGTCCACACAGTGTCCTGCTGGAGGTGTTGTGTCCACACTGTGTCCTGCTGGAGGAGTTGTGTCCACACTGTGTCCTGCTGGAGGTGTTGTGTCCACACTGTGTCCTGCTGGAGGTGTTGTGTCCACACAGTGTCCTGCTGGAGGAGTTGTGTCCACACAGTGTCCTGTTGAGGAGTTGTGTCCACACAGTGTCCTGCTGGAGGAGTTGTGTCCACACTGTGTCCTGCTGGAGGAGTTGTGTCCACACAGTGTCCTGCTGGAGGAGTTGTGTCCACACAGTGTCCTGCTGAGGTGTTGTGTCCACACAGTGTCCTGCTGGAGGAGTTGTGTCCACACAGTGTCCTGCTGAGGAGTTGATCCACACAGTGTCCTGCTGGAGGAGTTGTGTCCACACAGTGTCCTGCTGGAGGAGTTGTGTCCACACAGTGTCCTTGGAGGAGTTGTGTCCACACAGTGTCCTGCTGGAGGAGCTGTGTCCACACAGTGTCCTGCTGGAGGAGCTGTCCACACAGTCCTGCTGGAGGTGTTGTGTCCACACTGTGTCCTGCTGGAGGTGGTGTCCACACTGTGTCCTGCTGGAGGTGTTGTGTCCACACAGTGTTCTGCTGGAGGAGTTGTGTCCACACAGTGTCCTGCTGGAGGAGTTGAGTACACACTGTGTCCTGCTGGAGGAGTTGTGTCCACACAGTGTCCTGCTGGAGGTGTTGTGTCCACACAGTGTCCTGCTGGAGGAGGTGTCCACACAGTGTCCTGTTGAGGTGTGCAGTGTCCACACTGTGTCCTGCTGGAGGTGTTTGTCCACACAGTGTCCTGCTGGAGGAGTGGAGTACACACTGTGTCCTGCTGAGGAGTTGTGTCCACACAGTGTCCTGTTGAGGGTTTGTGGTCCACACAGTGTCCTGCTGGAGGAGTTGTGTCCACACAGTGTCCTGCTGGAGGTGTTGTGTCCACACTGTGTCCTGCTGGAGGAGTTGTGTCCACACAGTGTTCTGCTGGAGGAGTTGAGCACACACTGTGTCCTGCTGGAGGAGTTGTGTCCACACAGTGTCCTGCTGGAGGTGTTGTGTCCACAGTGTCCTGCTGGAGGAGTTGTGTCCACACAGTGTCCTGCTGGAGGTGTTGTGTCCACACTGTGCCCTGCTGGAGGTGTTGTGTCCACACAGTGTCCTGCTGAGGAGATGAGTCCACACAGTGTCCTGCTGGAGGTGGTTGTGTCCACACTGCAAGTCCTGCTGCAGGAGATGAGTCCACACAGTGTCCCATGCTGGAGGAGTTGTGTCCACACAGCCCTGCTGGGAGGTGTTGTGTCCACACTGTGCTGAGTGCCAGGCCCACACAGTGTCCTGCTGGAGGTGTTGTGTCCACACAGTGTCCTGCTGGAGAAGATGGTCCACACAGTGTCCTGCTGGAGGAGTTGTGTCCACACAGTGTCCTGCTGGGAGGTGTTGTGTCCACACTGCCCTGCTGAGGTAAGCAGTCCACACAGTGTCCTGCTGGAGGAGACATGAACCACACAGTCCTGGGTTGGAGGTGCCAGGTCCACACTGTGTCCTGCTGCAGGAGATGAGTCCACACAGTGTCCTGCTGGGAGGTGTTGTGTCCACACAGTGTCCTGCTGGAGGTGTTGTGTCAACACTGCTGTGTCCCTGCTGGAGGTGTTGTGTCCACACTGTGTCCTACTGAGGAGATGCATTCACACTGTGTCCTGCTGGAGTGCCAGTCCACACTGTGTCCTGCTGGAGGTGTTGTTCACATAGTGTCCTGTTGAGGAGATGAATCCACACTGTGTCCCTGTTGAGGAGTTGTGTCCACACAGTGTCCTGCTTTGAGTGAGTTGTGTCCACACACAGTGTACTGCTGGAGGAGTTGTGTCCACCAGTGTCCTGTTGGAGGAGTTTTGTCCACACAGTGTCCTGCTGAGGAGTTGGTGTCCACATAGTGTCCTGATGGGAGGTGTTGTGTCCACACAGTGTCCTTGATGGGAGGTAAGAACCACACAGTCCTGCTGCAGGTAAGCAGGTCCACACAGTGTCCTGCTGAGTTGTGTCCACACAGTGTCCTGCTGGAGGGAGCTAGGCTCACACAGTGTCCTGCTGGAGGTGTTGTGTCCACACTGTGTCCTGCTGGAGGAGCAGTCCACACAGTGTCCTGCTGGGAGTTGGTGTCCACACAGTGTCCTGCTGGAGGAGATGAGTCCACACCTCCGTGTCCTGGTTGGAGGAGTTGTTCCACACAGTCCTGCTTGAGGTGTTGTGCTGTCCACACTGTCCTGCTGGAGGAGTTGTGTCCACACTGTGTCCTGCTGGAGGTGTGTCCACACAGTGTCCTGTTGGAGGTGTTGTGTCCACACAGTGTCCTGCTGGAGGAGTTGTTTCCACACAGTGTCCTGCTGGAGGTAAGCAGGGGTCCACACAGTGCTCTGCTGAGGAGTTGTGTCCACACAGTGCCCTGTTGGAGGAGTTGTGTCCACACACAGTAAACCTGTTGGAGGGAAGCTGTGTCCACACAGTGTCCCTGCTGAGGAGTTGTGTCCACACTGCGTCCTGCTGGAGGAGTTGTGTCCACAGTGTTCTGCTGCTGGAGGGATGTGTCCACACAGTCCTGTTGGAGGTAAGCAGGTCCACACTGTGTCCTGCTGGAGGTGTTGTGTCCACACTGTGTCCTGCTGGAGGTGTTGTGGTCCACACAGTGTCCTGCTGGAAGAGCTGCAAGTCCACACAGTGTCCTGCTGGAGGTGTTGTGTCCACACAGTGTCCTGCTGGGAGGAATTGTGTCCACACAGTGTCCTGCTGGAGGTGTTGTGTCCACACTGTGTCCTGTTGGAGGTAGCCAGGCCTCACAGTGTCCTGCTGGAGGAGATGAGTCCACAGTGTCCTGCTGGAGGAGCAGGCCCACACTGTGTCCTGCTGGAGGAGATGAGTCCACACAGTGTCCTGCTGGGGAGTTGTGTCCACACTGTGTCCTGCTGGAGGAGTTGTGTCCACACTGTGTCCTGCTGAGTGTGTTGTGTCCACACAGTGTCCTGCTGAGGAGATGAGTCCACACTGTGTCCTGCTGGAGGAGTTGTGTCCACAGTGTCCTGGGTTGGGAGGAGTTGTGTCTGGCCATTGAAAGTCCTGTTGGAGGGGAGTTGTGCTCATTAACAGTGTCCTGCTGGAGGTGTTGTGTCCACACAGGTCCTGCTGAGGAGTTGTGTCCACACACAGTGTCCTTGCTGAGGAGGCTGTGTCCACACAGTGCCTCTGCTGAGGAGTTGTGTCCACACAGTGTCCTGCTGGGAGGTGTTGTGTCCACACAGTGTCCTGCTGGAGTAGCCAACCACACAGTGTCCTTGCTGGAGGAGTTGTGTCCACACAGTGTCCTGCTTGGAGGTAAGCAGTCCACACACTGTGTCCTTGCTGAGGAGGCCAGGTCCACACAGTGTCCTTCTGAGGTGTTGTGTCCACACACAGTGTCCTGCTGGAGGTGTTGTGTCCACACAGTGTCCTGCTGGAGGAGTTGTGTCCACACACAGTGTCCTGCTGGAGGAGTTGTGTCCACACAGTGTCCTGCTGGAGGAGATGAGTCCACACAGTGTCCTGCTGGAGGAGTTGTGTCCCCACAATGTCCTGCTGGAGTTGGTGTCCACAGTGTCCTGCTGGAGGAGCTAGGCTCACACAGTGTCCTGCTGAGGTGTTGTGTCCCACACTGTGTCCTGCTGAGGAGCTAGGGTTCCACACAGTGTCCTGCTGGAGGAGTTAGTCCACACAGTGCCCTGCTGGAGGAGATAGAGTCCACACTGTGTCCTGCTGGAGGAGTTGTTCCCCACACAGTGTCCTGCTGGAGGTGTTGTGTCCACACTGTGTCCCTGGAGGAGTTGTGTCCACACCTGTGTCCTGCTGGAGGTGCTTGGGGTCCACACAGTCCTGGTTAAGGTGTTGTGTCCACACTGTGTCCTGCTGGAGGTGTTGTGTCCACACAGTGTCCTGCTGGAGGAGCTTTTTGTTTCCACACAGTCCTGCTGGAGGTGTTGTGTCCACACAGTGTCCTGCTGGAGGAGTTGTGTCCACACAGTGCCCTGCTGGAGAGGCTAGTCCACACAGTGTCCTGCTGGAGGAGTTGTGTCTCACACAGTGTCCTGTTGGAGGAGTTAGTCCACACAGTGTCCTGCTGAGGGAGTTGTGTCCACACAGTGTTCTGCTGGAGGAGTTGTGTCCACACAGTGTCCTGGGTTGGAGGTGCAGTCCACACTGTGTCCTGCTGGAGGTGTTGTGTCCACACTGTGTCCTGCTGGAGGTCCACACAGTGTCCTTGCTGGAGGAGTTGTGTCCACACAGTGTCCTCAGTTGGAGGTGTCCAATAATGAAAGTCCTGCTGGGTGGAGTTGTGTCCACACAGTGTCCTTCTGCTGGAGGTGTTGTGTCCACACTGTGTCCTGTTGAGGTGTTGTGTCCTCAGTGTCCTGCTGAGGAGATGAGTCTCACACAGTGCTCTGGTTGGAGGAGTTAGGCCACACTGTGTCCTGCTGGAGGAGATGAGTCCACACAGTGTCCCTGAGGAGTTGTGTGCACACTGTGTCCTGCTGGAGGAGCTAGTCCACACTGTGTCCTGCTGGAGGTGTGTTGTGTCCACACAGGTCCTGTTGGAGGAGATGAGTCCACACTGTGTCCTTGCTGGAGGAGTTGTGTCCACACAGTGTCCTGCTGGAGGAGTTGTGTCTGGCTACTTTCTCAGTGTCCTGCTGGAGGAGTCCACACAGTGTCCTGCTGGAGGTGTTGTGTCCACACAGTGTCCTGCTGGAGGAGTTGTGTCCACACAGTGTCCTGCTGAGGAGTTGTGTCCACACAGTGTTCTGTTGGAGGTGTTGTGTCCACACAGTGTTCTGCTGGAGGAGTTGTGTCCACACAGTGTCCTGCTGGAGGAGTTGTGTCCACACACTGTTCTGCTGGAGGCCAGGTCCACAATAGGTGTTCTTGTTGGAGGAGTTGTGTCCACAGTGTCCTGCTGGAGGTGTTGTAGGGGTCCACACAGTGTTCTGCTGGAGGTGTTGTGTCCACATGCAGTGTCCTGCTGGAGGAGTTGTCCACACAGTGTCCTGCTGGAGGAGTTGTGTCCATTGGCAAGTCCTGCTGGAGGAGTTGTGTCCACACAGTGTCCTGCTGGAGGTAAGCAGCCCACACAGTGTTCTGCTGGCGTGTGTTGTGTCCACACAGTGTCCTGCTGAGGAGTTGTGTCCACACAGTGCGTCCTGCTGGAGGTGTTGTGTCCAGCACAGTGTCCTGCTGAGGTAAGTGCACCTATACAGTGTCCTGCTGAGGAGTTGTGTCCACACAGTGTCCTGCTGGAGGTGTTGTGCCCACACAGTGTTCTGCTGGAGGTGTTGTGTCCACACATTGTCCTGCTGGAGGAGTTGTGTCCACACACAGTGTCCTGCTGGGAGGCAGTGTTGTGTCCACACAGTGTCCTGCTGGGAGGTGTTGTGTCCATACAGTGTCCTGCTGGGAGGAGTTGTCCACACAGTGTCCTGCTGGAGGTGCTGTGTCCACACAGTGTCCTGCTGGAGTAGTTGTGTCCACACAGTGTCCTGCTGGAGGAGTTGTGTCCACACAGTGTCCTGCTGGAGGTGTTGTGTCCACACAGTGTCCTGCTGGGAGGAGTTGTGTCCACACAGTGTCCTGCTGGAGGTGTTGTGTCCACACAGTGTCCTGCTGGGAGGTGTTGTGTCCACACAGTGTCCTGCTGGAGGAGTTGTGTCCACACAGTGTCTCTGTTGAGGAGTTGTGTCCACACAGTGTCCTGCTGAGGAGATGAGCCCACACAGTGTCCTGCTGGAGGAGCTAGTCCACACAGTGTCCTGCTGAGGAGTTTTGTCCCCACAATGTCCTGCTGGAGTAGTGAAGCTCGTTGTGAAGCTGTGAGCCAACCTTCCTCTGCCCCGCTGTGAGCCAACCTTCCTCTGCCCCTGCTGTGAGCCAACCTTCCTGCCCTGCGTGAGCCAACCTCCCTCTGCTCTGCCAGAGCCAACCTTCCTCTGCCCTGCTGTGGAGCCAATCCCTTCTCTGCCCCCTGCTGGAGCCAACCTTCCTCTGCCCCACTGTGAGCTGACCTTCCCTCTGCCCCGCTGTGCTAATCCCTGCCCCACTCAGAGCCAACCTTCCTCTGCCCTGCTGGTGAGCCAACCTTCCTCTGCCCTGCTGAGCTAACCTTCCTCTGCCCTGCCAGAGCCAACCTTCCTCTGCCCTCACAGAGCCAATCCCTCTGCCCTGCCAGAGCCAACCTTCCCCTGCTCCTGCTGTGAGCCAACCTTCCTCTGCTCCCCCTCAGAGCCAACCTTCCTCTGCCCCTGGCTCAGAGCCAACCTTCCTCTGCTCGCTGTACCAACCTTCTCTGCCCCTGCTGTGAGCCAACCTTCCTCTGCCCTGCCTGAGCCAACCTTCACTCTGCCCCCACAGAGCCAACCTTCCCTCCTCTGCTGTGAGCCAACCTCTCTGTCTGCCAGGAGCCAACCTCCCTCTGCTCCCCTGCGTGAGCCAACCTTCACTTGCCCTGCTGTGAGCCAACCCTCCCTGCCCTGCTGTGAGCCAATCCCTTCTCTGCTGTCTCTGCTGTGAGCCAACCTTCCCTCTGCCCCTGCCAGAGCCAACCTTCACTCTGCCCCTGCTGTGAGCCAATCCCTTCCTCTACCCCTGCCAGAGCCAACCTCCCTCTGCCCTGCTGTGAGCCAACCTTCCCTCTGCCCTGCTGTGAGCCAACCTCTGCCCCGCTGTGAGCCAACCTTCCCTCTGCCCCACTGTGAGGCAACCTTCCTGCTGTGAGCCAACCTTCCTCTGTCTCTGCCAGAGCCAACATTCCTGCTGTGAGCCAACCTTCCTCTGCCCTGCCAGAGCCAACCTCCCTCTGCCTCGCTGTGAGCCAACCTTTCTCTGCCCTCTCTGTGAGCCAACCTTCCTGCGAGAGCCATCCTCCCTCTGCCCCACTGTGAGCCAACCTTCCTCTGCCCTGCTGTGAGCCAACCTCTGCCTCGCTGTGAGCCAACCTTTCTCTGCCCTGCTGTGAGCCAACCTTCCTGCTGTGAGCCATCCTCTGCCTCTGCTGTGAGAGCCAACCTTTCCTCTGCCCCCTGCTGTGAGCCAACCTTGCTGTGAGCCAACCTTCCTCTGCCTCTGCCTGAGCCAACCTTTCTCTCTGCCCCGCTGAGCCAACCTTCCTGCTGTAGAGCCAACCCTTCCCTCTGCTCTCGCAGAGCAACCTTCCTCTGCCTTGCTAGAGCCAACCTTCCTGCTGTGAGCCAACCTTCCTCTGCCTCAATGCCTGAGCCGACCTTCCTCTGCCTCTACTGAGCTAACCTTCCTCTGCTCCCCACAGGAGCCATCCTTCCCTGCCCTGCTAGAGCCAACCTTCCCTCTGGTCCCTGCCAGGAGCCAACCTTCCCTCTGCCCCCTGCTGTGAGCCAACCTTCCCTCTGCCCTGCTGTGAGCTAACCTTCCTCTGCCCTGCTGTGAGCCAACCTTTCTGTCTGCTGTGAGCCAGACAGCGCAAGTCCTCCTTGCTGCGGGTAGTAGGTAGCTACCAAACAGGAGGTACTACCGCCTGGGAAGATATTGGAAGCATAATGTGTTGTCTAATGGTAGACTCTGCTGCCATATGGCATCACGAATATTGTAACCAAGTCCCAGGTTGCTGATCTGACTTTCTGCCTCATTTACACACAATTGCAGGGTCTCAATTGTTTCTCTTACTATTGACAGCAACATATACAATATATTGTTTTTTCTTTATCTTTTTTTTATTTTCTGTTATATTAACATAATTATTATTATTACACACTCATGGAATCATAGCTCTGCTAGGTTCAGATTTCTAAGAGCATTATAGGAGTTCCAATCTTGAGAGTGAGCTGGTGAGGAGGCATTCCACGGGCTCCAAAGAATTAGAATTCTGCATGGTACTGGTCTTGGTCCTGGTCGATTACAGTATCAACAGATTTGAATGAGGTCTCACTGCCTGGAAGCTGTCTGAGAGAGTCATGTTGATTTCAGCCACTGTATCATACTTGGTGCCAGAATTGCTCGTTCACGCAGCCACTTGTGATCCTTGTAGTGGTGGATAATGTTTGGGTAGACCATGTTAGTGAGCTCAGTTGAGGACTTTACAACATTTCCACATCCTTTTCAACCTTTGTGTGGTTTAACTGGTCGGGTCGGGTGTGTAGGGTCGGGTTGGTTGGTTTTTTTTAGATCCCCACATGACACTTGCTATCCATGCCAAGTTTGGTCTGGGCGGCTCATTCTTCTACGGTAGGACGCCACCCTCCTGAGGCTCCACATTGTCTCACTGTTCAGTCCCCAAAACTTCTTCCACCAATAGTTCATTAACGGTGTATGTAAGTTCCACCATGTTTTTCACTACAACGGTACAGCAAAGTATATTTTTTTAGCTTTAAATTGTTATTATTTTATTATTTAATCATCACTACATATAACACCATCCATCATCACTACATATAACACCACCCATCATCACTACATATAACATCATCCATCATCGCTAAATATAACACCATCCATCATCACTACATATAACACCATCCATCATCACTACATATAACACCATCCATCCATCACTACATATAACACCACCCATCATCACTACATATAACACCACCCATCATCACTACATATAACACCACCCATCATCACTACATATAACACCATATCCACTACATATTACATCATCCATCATCACTACATATAACACCACCGATCATCACTACATATAACACCACCCATCATCACTACATATAACACCATCCATCATCACTACATATTACATCATCCATCATCACTACATATAACACCACCCATCATCACTACATATAACACCACCCATCATCACTACATAACACCATCCATCATCACTACATATTACATCATCCATCATCACTACATATAACACCACCGATCATCACTACATATAACACCATCCATCATCACTACATATTACATCATCCATCATCACTACATATAACACCATCCATCATCACTACATATAACACCAGCCATCATCACTACATATAACACCACCGATCATCACTACATAACACCACCCATCATCACTACATATAACACCATCCATCATCACTACATATTACATCATCCATCATCACTACATATAACACCACCGATCATCACTACATATAACACCATCCATCATCACTACATATAACACCAGCCATCATCACTACATATAACACCAGCCATCATCACTACATATAACACCACCCATCATCACTAATAACACCATCCATCATCACTACATATTACATCATCCATCATCACTACATAACACCACCGATCATCACTACATATAACACCATCCATCATCACTACATAACACCACCCATCATCACTACATATAACACCATCCATCATCACTACATATAACACATCCATCATCACTACATATAACACCAGCCATCATCACTACATATAACACCAGCCATCATCACTACATATAACACCAGCCATCACTACATATACTACCATCCATCATCACTACAGATCGGTAAAGTAGGTTCCGAGATTCTCGGGCGGACACACAGACAAATTTCTTTGGTTTATATATATAGATTATTATTATTATTATTATTAATGTTACATTTTCGCCCCCAGGCCCTGATGTGGGTTAGTGACCTGTGCCCGGGTGGGCTAATCCCCGTGAACAACAACAACAACAACAACTGTGCTCCAGGAGACGTGAGTGTACTACTCAACCATGAACCACAGAATAATACTGTGTGCATTAGAAACATTTACTCCTAGTTGTTATAACTCAGCGCTGTAACATACTGTACACTCTTGGTTTCAAAAGTGACTCAAATAAGACAAAATGTCTCTTTTTAAAGACTATGCTTATGAATTCATAAACATAGATCGATAAATGTACAACTGAACACACAGACAGAAAGGCAACGCATTGGACCAATCACAACGCACTAACAGAGATGAATCCCACTGGTCCAATCACAGAGGTCAACAAATTCGGTGCAGGAGGATGCTAACCCTCAGAGGCGGAGGGTGATAATCGTAGGTAATAATGGTGTCTGTGATCCTAGAGACAGTAGTAGGTTGGGAAGTTGTCTATTGAGAAACCATTTTTGGGGTAGATTTTTCAGGTTGGGTTTCAAAGTTGGAGGATCTGCCTAGAGGAAGAGGTGGAGGAGGGAGAAGAATGGAGGAGGAAGAAGAGGAGGGGGAGGAAGAAATGGAGGAAGAAGAAAGAGGAGGGGGAGGAAGAGGTGGAGGAGGAAGAAGAGGAAGAGGGGAGGGAGGAAAGTGGAGGAGGAAGAAGGAGGAGGGGTAGGAAAGAGTGGAGGAGGGAAGAGGAGGAGGGGAGGAAGAAGTGGAGGAGGGAAGAAGAGGAGGAGGAAGAGGTGGAGGAGGGGGGAGGAAGAGGTGGAGGAGGAAGAAGAGGAGGAGGGGTAGGAAGAGGTGGAGGAGGAAGAGGAAGGGAGGGAAGGGTGGAGGAAGGAAGAAAGAGGAGGAGGAAGAGGTGGAGGAGGGGAGGAAGGAGGAGGAAGGGTGGAGAGGAGGAAGAAGAGGAAGGGGGAGGAGGTGGAGGAGGAGAAAGAGGAGGAGGAAGAGGTGGAGGAGGGGGAGGAAAGAGGTGGAGGAGGAAGAAGAGGAGGAGGGGTAGGAAGAGGTGGAGGAGGAAAGAGGAGGAGGAGGAGAAGGAGGTGGAGGAGGAAGAAAGAGGAGGAGAAAGAGGAGAGGAGGAAGAGGAGGAGGGGGAGGAAGGGTGGAGGGAGGAAAAGAAGAAGGGAGGGAGGAAAGAGGTGGAGGAGGAAGAAAGAAAGAGGAGGGAGAAGAGGTGGAGGAGGAGAAGAAGAAGAAAGAAGGAGGGAGAAGAGGTGGAGGAGGAAGAAAGAAGAGGGAGGAGGAAGAGGTGGAGGAGGAAGAAAGAAGAGGAGAGAGGGAGGAAGAGGTGGAGGAGGAGGAAGAAGGAGGGGGGAGGAAGGGTGGAGGAGGAAGAAAGAGGGAGGGAGGAAGGAGGTGGAGGAGGGAGAAGAAGAGGAGGAGGGAGGGAAGAAGAATGGAGGAGGAAGAAAGAAGAGGAGGAGGGGGAGGAAGAGGTGGAGGAGGAAGAAAGAAGAAAGAGGAGGAGGGAGGAGAAAGGTGGAGGAGGAAGAAGAAGAAGAAGAGGAGGAGGAAGAGTGGAGGGAAGAAAGAGGAGGGGGAGGAAGAGGTGGAGGGAGGAAGAAGAGAGGAAAGATGGAGGAGGAAGAAGAGGAGGAGGGGGGAGGAAAAGGGGTGGAGGAGGAAGAAAGAGGAGGAGGAGGGGGAGGAAGAGGTGGAAGAGGAAGAAAGAGGTGGAGGAGGAAGAAGGAGGTGGAGGAGGAAGAAGAAGAGGAGGAGGGGAGGAAAGGTGGAGGAAAAAGAAGAAAGAAGGAAAGAGGTGGAGGAGGAAGAAAGAAAGAGGAGGAGGGAGGAAGAGGTGGAGGGGAGGAAGAAAGAAGAGGAGGAGGAGGGGGAGGAAAGAGGTGGAGGAGGAAGAAGAGGAGGAGGAGGAAAGAAGAGTGGAGGAGGAAGAAAGAAGGAGAGGAGGGGAGGAAGGGTGGAGGAGGAAGAAAAGAAAGAAAGGGGGAGGAAAAGGTGGAGGAGGAAGAAAAGAGAGGAGGGGAAGAGGTGGAGGAGGAAGAAAAAGAAGAGGAAGAAGAGGTGGAGAGGAAGAAGGAGGAGAAGAAGAAGAAAGAGGAGGAGGTGGAGGAAGCATAGATGAAGGAAAGGAAGAAGAGAAAGAGGAGGAGGAGGAGCAGGGGAAGGAAGAGCGGAGAGAGAGGTTTGGAGGTGTAAATTATCTCAACAAAAACACGAATGAAAACTAATTTACATTTAATCAAATAATCAAGTGTCATCATCATGGCTACTTGACTCCAAACATACATCACTAACACATCTTTTATCACACTACCAGCCGGGATGTGCTACACGGCTCTGGTGTGTGTAGGTGTGTTTGGTCACCAATACAGCTCTCAGCCAATGATTGTAGCTTTAGTAGTCATGCAGGGATATGATTGGCGG